GTGACAATACCATTTCCTGTCCTTTTATTCAGTATGGAAGGTCAACAAGATGGTGACACAAACCGTGTTTGAGAATTAAAGTTGTGCTCCCACAGTACAAGATCATCTAGTCTAGTAGAATGTTGGTAGTTTGAGAAGCTATTTCTGTCAATGACATACTAATTACAGCACCCCAATTTTAAGAATAATAGGTCTTTGAATGACAAAATGGAAAAGTTATCTGATGACCCACAAAACACAGTTAATTAATTTGATAAAGTTTTGCATAATTTAACTTCCTAATGAGTTTCTTAATGAAGGCAATATTTTACATTTAAATGGGATGTGTATTTTGTAATAATAATAATTTTCATAGTCAAAATGCAATGCCCAGTGGTGACACGATATTAAAAAAAAAAAGTGTTAGCTCCTGAGGCATTTTTATATCAGTTATTGTATTTAAATAAGAGTGATAATGAAAGAAAAAGTGTTCATTGTGAATATTAGGGTCTTGTACTGTCATGTTGGTGTTGATTGTAATACCAAAGTTGTAATTAGCTTTTAGCATATCATATATACACTGGAACATCACCTTGCAATAGCAGTCAGTAATTAAGAGCAGCGCAGATTATTTCCATATTCTTGCATTCTTGTAGTCAAATACTATAGCAATCTACAATAGTTCCAGTGTTTGGATTGCATGACAGAAAGTTGTGGTGGGTTTTACAGAGCCCTGATGTCCTTTTAGGTTTTTTGTGCCATTAAAGAAAGAGGATGTAAGACATGTGAAAGCCCAACTTGCACACAAGGCATCCTGCATTCACAAGGATTCTGTTTCCTCATGGTTTAGTCTGCTGTTACTGATGCCTGTATGCTTTTCCAGGTGCAGCTTAAGGAGATGTAGATCATTTGCATAGGAATAAAATATACTGTCAACTATAACACTGACCAAATTTAAACAAGAATGTAATGTGCTTTCTTTCACAATACATTTGAATTACAATAAGTGTACATGCTTTTTTAAAAAATATCTTATAATGTTGGCTTTGTGAGTGAGTGTTTGTATGTGCTCAGAATGCTAGATGAAGGTCTCCTAACACTGCCCTTTTCTGCATCCTTTAGCTCTACCTTTAAAATAAAAGACAAATTCTGAAAACAAAATAATAAAGGAAATAAAATGACACATTTGGGAAAACAGAATGTATTACTAAATCTATTGTGGAGCAATATAAACAAAAACTGTAGAAGTCACAAGTGTCCCTCAGGTAGTGGGTCGTTGCTCTTCATATTTTTGTATGAGTCTAGGCAAGGACAAGGACTAGGTAGGGATCAAGAGTCTGAGCTGTATGAATTCCATCATGGTGTTTTTCAGTGTTCATGGCTACAGAGGACTGTGTGGTCATGGCAAATTCCAAGTGTTATTTTCTGGTGACATTTTTCATTACAGATTTTTATTTGCATGGTTGCTGGGTCAGGTATTCCTACCTTCATTTATACAGCAAGGACCATGTGAGCCATCTAGTGGGAGGTTTCTTTTTAACACTTGACCATTTGGGAAATCTGTTCCTTGTGTCTTTTCCCATTCAGCTGTCCAGCACCAGCCTCTCAGTCTGTCATGGGACTTCCCCTCATCCTTCCCACTTACCCGTAGTGATCAGATTTCTGTGAAGTGACAGGGGGAAATGGGGAGCTGCTTTTTTTTTTTGAGATAAAAGCAAAACAGACGTTGCTAGAGCTCTGTTACTTGATATATATCAAAACCTGTAAAAGGTCTTTTTAATAAACCAGGAAATGATGCAGTAAGAAAAGGCAGTTGAGACAATTTATGAACATGTTCATGACAGTTACCTAACTGGACTAAAGAATGCTTATTTATTTACTATTTAAATGGTTGTACAAGAAGAAAATAATGTTCTGTCAGCGTAACCTCTTATCTTCTACAACATGGGATCCAAATGCCTTCTAATGAAAGCTGTAGTGATGAGCACCCGGATGTATATTGTCTGCTTTGGGTTGAACTGAACCATGTAAGATCGCCCTAAACCAACTCTAAGTTTCCCCCTTTATAAAGTGAACCTCTGATATTTCATGAAATATTACTGTAATAATTTTTATAACACTGTCAGAAGCTTAATGTCCCTTACTTAGTTTGTAGTGGGAAATCTCATGCAGCAAGTTGGATGTGTGCTGCCAAATGAGTGTTGACCTATGGTAGGAATGAGATGGAGCATCTAGGTTTAATTAGAGAATAAGTGCAGAGAATGAGATTTCAGAGAAGACTGAGCTCCTTCATACGAGACTGGGGACTTTTGAGTCCAAGCCTGAGTAGGCTAAGGAAAGAGGAGACAGCAGCCTGCAGAGCTAAACACTAGTAGCTCTGCTTACAGGGAAGTGAGCAACAGCAGCAGGACTCAGGGGACAGAGGACAGAAAGCTATGCACGTGGACTTGCTTTGTATGCTCTGGTGAAGTTGGTGATTGTCTCAGACATTAAATGGCCTGACTGACTTGGGTTTGCAGGTGGGAGTCTCTTTCAGGCATAGAGTGCCATTTGCTATCGATTAGAGGCACTTGCCTGTACCTCTCCATGTATCAAGTAGATTATAGGCAGAGAAAAGTGCAATATTGAATCTTTACTGGTGCCTTATAGTACACTGTGTTAGTTTACTTTGTGAACTGGCTTTTCAAAGATGATTCCCTGAGTTTTTAGGATCATATTTTTTAGGATCTTCTTGGATAGAGCAAGAAGTGGTGCATACACAATATGGCAGATGTTTCAAGTATCTGAAAAACCCACTGTGCCTTCAATGGCCTTCAGTGCAGTTGTTTTCTCAGTCATTCTGGTCATGTTGGTGCTCTTCTGATATTAGTGGGTGTACTGAGTATGTGTAGATCAACAGATCAGGATATGCAACAACAGATCCACAAGGGAACTTTCAAAAGGCCAGTTGTGCCAATGTGCATGTGGATACTGGTAATAGTTGGACTATTTAGTTGGCTCTTAGTACTACCAGAATTTTTAATACTAGTAGATATACAGAGACCATGGAGAAATCTGAGCCTCAAAATCTTCCTAGACTACATTTCTGGACAAGAAAATAAGAGTACGTCTGGGAGAATGATAATGCTATACTACAAGAACAGTGAAACCTTCAGAGATAGTGAGCATTGCTGATAATTTTATAGTTGATTATTTTATTTTTGAAATGATATGATTATAGATGGTATATTTATAGTAGAATTGCTGTTCTGAAGTGTACGTTTGTCCTGGTTTTTAGGTGGAACAGAACTGGGTTTCTTTTCAGTAGCTAGAACAGTGCTGTGTTTTGCTTTCAGCCTGGGATTTGTTAAGAGAGGAATATTTAAATTAATAAGTTAAATTGCCATTTGGATATGCCAGTGGGATATTCCATATCATATCACATCATGTCCACTATATTAGTGAGGGTCTCTTCTTCTTTTGCTCTCTCTGACTTTCACTCGGGCTCTCGCTCTTCTGGGATGGGGGTTTCGGTTCGGAATTGTTGCTCCTCCGGAATCGTTATCTGGGAACAGGCCGGGCTTGGTCAGAGGGTGGTGAGCAGTTGCACTGGGTATCACTCATTTTCATATTTTATTACTATTATTATAATTACTATAATTTTAATATCAGTATTCTTTTAAGTTTTCTTTTATTTCAATTATTGAATTGTTCGTATCTCAACCTACGAGTCACCTTACCCTTGCCCCCCAATCCTATCCCCTGGCAGGGTGGGAGTGAGCGAATGGCTGTGTTTGGCTGCCAGCCAAGTGCTAGCCCATTGCTAGCCGAGTGAAACCACCACAATATTACAAGATGTCTCTAGTAGAGGAGTGCTTCTGATAACTTTTATTATAGTACAGATTTAGTATGCTTGCACATACAATATTAATATCTTGCAGAGAACTAAGATAACTACAAAACCAAATGGTCTTGGTTTTCTACAGCAAAGTAGAAATGTAATAGCTGAGTTACATGCAACATAGTATTAAATTTGGCAGTACTTTATTGTCTACTTCATATAATGATGTAGGTTGTCATCTTCAGAAATTTGTTTAGGGTTGATTGTCAACTACACTGGTAGTTCCACAGATACTTAATCAGAGTGTGAAATGTTAGCACATTTAGGTTTTTTACTCATATGGGGAGATGATAAAAACCTATGCTTTCTTAATTCTTCATTAGAATTGTACAGTATGTGACAATGTGTGAAATCTAGATTTAGATACTCTTTCCAACTAGTGATTGTTACTGATCCTGTCTTGTCATGTGTCACATCCTGCCTGCTTTTTCTTGATAACACTGCTTCCTTTTTGGTGACATCTACGTAGCAAATTTTGTTTTTCTCTATTTTTTTACAGGTTAAAAAATAACAATCAGTTGGTAGTTAAAACTGCTACTTATAGTTATAACTACCAATTGGTTAAAGCAAAAAAAATGTACTTCAGGTAACAATCTTTCTGAAAGAAAACCCTGACCTGCTGACTTGAATTGGTGAGGCATGTGGAGTATTACAAATAAGAACAGCCTTGAAACAGGTGCCTCACTGTTAACATTCCCCTCAGGTTTCACAGCAATGTTAGTTTCCTCTGTGGAGCAATCTGAAGTTCTCTAGTGCCACTGAAACATTACAGCTTACCTCGGTTGCCCAACACACAGCTGCAGAGAGCTGTAAAAAGGATGATCGTCTTGTTTGAGTGGGAATTTCTGATTAATATTTTGCTGAAGTTGAATATAAATCTTATCTTTCAATCTGGCACACCTGTTATAGCCTGAAAGTAGCACTGTTTGCTTCAGATCTTTAACAAATATAAATACAACAAGTACAAAAAGGCATATATACAATGACAGCATAATATTATTAGAAAAAGAGAATGTATGTGCTGCTGTCTTTCAACATTGGGTAATAAACTTGCCTAAAAATGACGTAATTATATTTTCCCAGGTGTGCTTTTGCTGTCTACGTAAAGTTTAGTTAATTAGGCTTCATATTGTCTCCACAGAGATCTAAAATTGCAGTGTTTGATAAAATGTGGACCTATATGAAAAGTGCAGAACCATCTGTGTTTGTGAGGACTACAGCAGAAGGGGTAGCTCGAGTACGGAAGTCCAAAGGAAAATATGCCTACTTGCTGGAGTCAACCATGAATGAGTACATCGAACAAAGGAAACCCTGTGATACCATGAAAGTTGGTGGGAATTTGGATTCCAAAGGCTACGGCATCGCCACACCTAAAGGATCCTCATTAAGGTGGGTGGAATAGTATAACAATATGCTAAATGTTGTTATAGTATCCCACCTACCCTGATGTATCTTTACTGATGTCTATGGTTTGTATAAGGATATGAGGTAACTCTCAAACATTGCATTTCAAACACTATATCAAAATGAAAGTGCCTATGCTGACAATATTGACATGTTTGGATACTTCCTTAAATTTCTTGCAGGTTTTCTAACCATGTAAACATTCATTTTATTATTCTTATTATTTAAACATTCCAATTTTAAGGATTGTTTTCTTATTTCTTTTCCTTTTTTTTTTTAGATTTGCTTTTCACGTTACTAGCTTATAGTGTGAGTCTATTTCCTCATACCTTGTAGAAAACGTCGCTCTGCTCATGAAACTAAAACCGAATGGCTGCATTTGAACAGTAAACCGGCGTAACTAACAAAATGTGCCATTGTTTAAAGAGGGCTTTGTTTCGGGGAGACGATAATGCACAATGAATTTCTTTGCACACATCTCTTTACTATGTAGTTAACTCTTTGTATTCCTATTTTGTTGTTTGTTTTTTTTTTAGTGGAGTCACATTCAAGACACTGTTATTTGTTTGTTGTGGATGTGAGTACATTGCTGTAGATTACAGAACTCCCCATATTAGCACTCTTT